CAGCAAGATAATGCTGGATTATATATACGTATTGTCTGTAAGATGGAACATGTGTAAACATATAATGGAATGAAAATTGTACAAATTATGTTAATCAATATTTCAAGCAAGGTGCATTACAAATATATATATGTGTGAGTGTGTGTGTGTATATATATTTACTTACCATCTATAACAAAGCCTTCTATTTCTTCAAATTTCAACTGAAGTTCTCCCTGAATGGTCTCAAATGAAATCTCCTTTTTAGTTTCTCCCATCTGCATGAATGTTAACAGCCTCATCTTTTGCATGTTCTGTTCGTGAGAGAGGCCTGAAAATAAATAATATAGAAAGACACTACAGAAAACAGCTTGGTGATATGAAATGAATAAATGTTTGAAAAGAAAGCCTAAAAGCATTAAGATTACCTCCATCTTTGAGTAAGTATTTTTATGCAGTTCTAGTTACAAGAATAATGGTTTTGAAATTAGATGAAATACCATTTAGAAACTCTGAAACTGTTCTAGAGTATTGGATCTTTAAAATCCAACTTATGTATTATTAACAAAAACTGATGGCACAAATTTATTAACTAAACTGATTCAGAATGTGGAGTATATGCATTTTAACTTGAAGATCTGAAACATGACTAAAGAAGTGTTTTCACCCTTTTGCATGTTATCACAAAAGAATATGTGAAGATGTGAGTCATTAACAGAGAAGGAAATACCTTATATTTTATAAAACAAAACATGTAACTGAAATATAGCAGCAGAAGTCAGATGCTTACAAATATTTTCTCAAGTATTTAAGTTCCATAGTTTCCTTAAGTCTTTTTCTCCTTGAGTTTTCTGATGTAGAATTAAAAGTTAACCCTCAAATTACCAATTGGTTTATAAACCATTTTGCAAAAGGTGGAGTCCACATATAGTATTATACTGGGTAATTTATTGTCAGTTTTATAGGAGCTGATTTTCTTTACATTAGATGTCTGCGACTTGTTGACGATAAATTTCAATGATAAACAAACAGCACACAGTTCACCTGTTTTAAAATAATATATCAAAACAAGTTAAACGCATATAGAAATGTACACAGTTGAACTACAGCTTTAAATAATTATCTTTTTCATCAAAAGTCAGGCTGGTTCAATTATTTTAAAACACCTTTTGACAAGATAAATTCTTCTTCTCTATCCCTGTTATTACAATACAAGCTGTAAAACTCAATTTAGAAATTGTTCATTATGGCTAAACTCACACGCAGTCTAACTTCGTCACCCATATATATTGCCCAACTGAGGCCTAGATTTTTCTACAAACTACAAAACATTATGATGTAACAATACTCAATGAAACAAAGAGAAAACTTAGAAGGACCTAGTAACATGATACAAAAATATAACAATTACCGACTAGTGTACTACACAACATATGATTTGTACAGTTATGTAAAGAAACCTGTGATTAATTATTGCTTCTAAAATACTAAATTTAACAATCACACTTTATAATTATCTGAATCATAACTCTTATATTAAATTTAAATGAAACAGTCATGCATATCTAACATTTATGCTTCTGTCAATTACACCTATTGTAAAGAAAAAATGTAGGATTAATTGCAACATTGATGGTATTGTTTACATTTTCTTTTTTTAACTTGTGTGTTAGTTATTACTAAGGGCCTTGTTACCAGCAAAGTCATGGACCCATAAGCAGTCTGATGAATGAATTTTTTTTTAGAAAAAGTGTTTAAAAAGTCAATGGGGGTACATTTAGCTCCCTCTTGTAATTCTTGGGTTAAGTAAAATTCTCTAACAATAGATCTCAAAGATACATTCAATTGTGAGACTATGTTAAATATTACACAAATTTGATATACCTTTTGCACATTATTGTACAAAACCGAATCCTAAGAATCACGTGTAACTGATGATGAAAACCAAAATCATATCTTTAATTGATTGTAGAAAAGAAACATTATCAGCTTATAAAATATCATAATCTGTTTTAGAAGAAACAAAAGTTGAACAATACTAATGTTTGGCAAGTGTACTTGAAAAAAATCCAATAAAGTTTTTAGTGATTAACACATTGAACAATAAATATATATCAATGACAACAGGTTTAAAGTTACTCAGAAGATATTATAAACATATCTATATGAATACACTGCTAAGAAAATGGTTTGCTTACTCAGAGAGTTTAGAAAATCCTTGTTGTTGTTATAAAACTTAAGGTATGATGATAATTTCTCAGACACAAAGATTGTGAGGAGATCATGAATCAGTTCTCCCTCCAGAAAGCGAACAGGCTTTAGAGCAAGCAAGTGATCCATGAGGAACATTGTTGGATCAGCTAAGCATGCTACAATACATCTGTAAACAAAAATTTTAACCATAAGTACTTTTCATAGTAAATGATGAGATTTGGAATAAAATAATGTACATATATAAGATATGTTAACTCACTTCATACACCAAAGGCCAAATCAAAACAATAAATAAGGTTGAAATATTGAAAACAGCTTTCTGTTTTAAACCATTTTTCAGCTGAAACAATAAGTTTTGCTGCAATGTCCCATAAACAGTATGAAGTGAGCACAGTCAGAATACAGTCACTTTTAAAAAATACAAAGTCAAAACCCTATATCAAAATGTTGTAGTTAGTGTTCTTGAAAAGTGCAAACAAATGGTTAAAGCTTTCTAAAAGGAAAAATTATGTATTCATTGTTCTAACTAAACAACCTTCACTTAACCAAATGAAAAGTAAGAGGGTGCATTAAAACACAGAAATAACCTCTTGGAATAGCCAATAAGATGATAGGAGAGTGCACGAATACTAAAGCAATGGTGACAGAAGAAGTTGGAGAAACTTCTTGATTGGCGAAGTATGAAAAATAAAAGTTATGAATGACAAGCAAAGTTATAGAGTATAGAAAAAAAATAACTATAAAGAAAAAATAATTAATATAAATACAGAAAAACCCAAGAGTAACAAATATAAAAGTGAAATGGCAGTTGAGGTCTCATTTATTCGCAAGATTTCCGCAAAGGTGACTATGCAACATTCTTTGCATTATTTTCCTTGACTGTTTGAAGAATGTAATTTCAGTATCATGAATAGAATGTTTGTTAAACAAGGAAAGATAAAATACAAGGTTTTAAATGTTGTTGATTTTAATATTCAATGAATCTATCTCCTATTTAGCAGACCATATGACCTACATAAAAGGCAGGGCAAAAACACATTATATTAGGTTAGAAGTAGGGCTGTGTTCTAAGGTTCATCAGGTAACATTCAAGCATTGCTAAGATTTTTTCATTTTGTTAGCAGAAACTGTTTGAATAGTAATCACGTATGAAATGTTATTCACATAGAAAATTCAATCTTTTGAATAGTATAATGCCCATTACATAAACAAAACTTGTCATATATATAAACACACACACACACACACACACAACAAAAACATTATAAATAACAGCTCCTTCCATAAATTGAAGCAGATAATTTGGTGAAACACAGGGATTATGTTTAGTGATTGCATTGTTTCAATAAAATGTACTAAATGTCTAACGTGCAGTACATAAGAGAAGTGTGATTTTAAACAATGAATGCTCTTCACAGCCGCACTGTCTCTCCTAATTTTTTGTTCTAGCTGGAATTCCATATTTATCTTTTTTTAATCGAAGTGTTTCTATTACTCTGTTCTTTTTACTGTTTATTTACATTACTATTTATTCATTTGGTTGAATAGGGAGCTCATGTAATGCAAGCTTACACTATGTAGCTATACGAGTATCTCATGTAATATCAAATAGGTGTACACAAACAATGTGTATTTTTATTCTTATTTAAAATAAAAAAAAAACATGGTTACAGTTCTGTATAATGAATTTTTAAACTATGTGTGAATGTTTCCTTTCATTTATATGGAACATACTGTAGTCTGATTTGTTTGTGTTATAATCTAGATACTTTACGTAATGGCAGGTGATGATGTCTTACATACTACTATAAACAACTTTCCTAAAATGGAGGTTTTACTGTCTTGTGCTAATTCAAAGATTTTCTTAAAATATAAATAAGCAGCTTAAACTAGTATAATCAGCTTTTAGAACAACAAATACTGTTTGAAGTATTTACATCACCATACCTATGAGCATCATCCCTGGCATGAGAAGCATTGTCTTCAGTGTAAGTGCCCAGTAGTTCAATCATTACTTTTGATGCAAGTTCACTACATAAAACAGAAAATACTCTTATTTAGGCAAACTACAACTTTGGTAGAACAGCATTCTTTATTTCACCAAATTGTGAGGCCTAAAACAATGTCACCAAGTAAGAAGTTTGTTTAAAGATATATTCACAGAACAATACTAAACCCCATATTAAAACTAAGTTTCAATACATTTCAAAGAGGCTAAAATTACTAGCATATCATATTAAACAATTGAAATTGGAATAATTGTACTAGAAATTTTCTCACAACCTCATAATTTATGTATTAAAGTTTTCTACCCCTCCTTAAAGCTGGAGCAAAATATATGCAAGTAAATGTAAATAACAATGATGTATTGATGTATAAAAATTTGAACTATGCTTCTTAATTTTAGCTTTTATCTTATACACATGTTTTAAAACTATTGTTAACATGATTGATACCAAGGATTAATTGAGTTAAAAATAATTTCCACCTGCAAGCTGATGGTAAAAAAAAAAACCTTAGATTTTCAGCTCTAGTATGTTTCTCAGTTATAGGTAAAAAGTAATAATAAAACAACAGCTAATACTGATTAAATTCTGATCTTTAAACATGAATAAATTATAAAGTAATTTCAAAATGAATTCAGAAGAATAAGTCTATATTATCTTATTCAAGTTTGATCTTTTAGTGGCAATAAATTCATTGTTAAATATGAAAAACTTCCTTGCTTTTGTGTACATTTTCTATAATTTAAGATTAGAAAATGTAGTTCACTTTATTGCATTAGTCATTAAAGAACATTTTGATCATATTGTCTCCGTATATTCTGCAGTAACATCTTTTACAATGCCCGAGATTTTGAGAACAAAGATAATGGTCTTACATAACTATGTTATAAATACATACTTACTGAATCCTCTAAGTTATTCTACTAGGTGACATACAACTCTTTTTTTTTTACTTCTTTACAACTTATAAAAATGCCTTACAACTTTAGCTCTGTCTCACTTCATAAAGAATCCTTTAAGGGACCAACCTGTTGAGATTCTAATAAGAGCCATTCCAAAATTATTCTCAGAATTGTTTTTAGAAGTACCTTTAGTCTTTATCATCTTTTTCTCATTGAGATAAAATTCCCAAACTAATGAAGTCACTAACAGTGTACAAATATGTCTGTCTTTTGTGCTCAAAAGGTTACATTGATTTAAATACCCAAAGTTTACATCAAAGAACTAGTGAACACTCAACACATGTTCAGTATGTTTACAAATATACCTGTCTTTTACACTCAAAAACTATACTGCCTCCAGTATTTGACATTTACATAGACAAAGAACCTGCGAGTCCTAATGTTTCTATGTTTACTTAGTATCCATCATCAACATGAAAACTGCACAAACTGGGTTTTAATGATAAAAAAAAATATCTTTTTTAATGGTGTATGCTACTGTTCACAATTCTATAGTTGTGTTATCATTCTATATACTGACTAACACAAATGATATATACATATTATTGAAATGTACCTTTGCTTATTTTCTTGAAGAACTTCATGAAGAAGTCTGAGAAGTTTTTTAGCCTTTTCTGTGCTGATGTTATTTTCTTGGAACCAACATTTCAACTTTAGCAAGAATGAAGAAGTATAACTTGAGACATAAACTTCAACATGAAACTATAAACACTTAATATTCATAAATAAAAAGTACATATACAGTTACACAACTTGATACATGGGTCAGTGTTCAAGTAACTATATAGAAAAGTCCATAAGATGACCATAAACCTCCAATACTTTCAAATATTTGCCTCTTCCTCAGGATCAATTAAAGGTTTTCTTAAATCATCTTTAGTTTGAAAAGAAATGACTGTCATTTGTTATATTAGCCAAACTATACAATTATAATGATGTTATTCTGTATGGTACACTGTACATTCATCTGATAAAAAATAAATAATTAATAATGATGCAAGGTCCACTCTTCATTTTATTTTCACAAAAGCACTTTGAGATTTTCCTTTATGATAAAATTTACCTTGTATTTACATTTATATGAAAAATAAGCATGAAACTTGCATTTATTTGCATTGCTACTTTTAAGGCATAAAATTAAAGCTGTGTCAAAAAAAGCATACCTATAACTATGTAGAGACATTATAAACTATTGAAAATCTTTCAAATTTAAAAAATATAGAAAACTAAACTTTATTTTAAAACTACGTTTTTTACAGAGAAAAAATTATTTTGCAATATCTCAAATTGCATTTTGAAACTCAAAGAAAATTTAAAATGTGTGACTCCCAAACTTATTCAGTATGCAATCCATTTATCTTTCAGCTATAAACCAACTATAACTATCTCTGACATTGAAAATTTCTTAGAAAATAGTTACAAACATTATCACCCTTGGCTTACACTGTACACTATTTTAAGCAGCATGGTTATATCTTACATACTAGACTAGTTTTTAGTTACTCGAAGGCTATCTGAGTATCAGATGAGGAAAACAATACATTACACTACAAAATATCACAAAATAAATTTTTAAATTCCACATCATGGCTCCAGTTTTAAGTCCACAAATATCAAAAATTTTTTGCTTTACTTACAAGTGTAAAAGAGCTCTAACTTAACTTTTCTAAAACCAATTACAATTGAGTTTTCATGATTAATAATGTTGTTTTTTCATTTTTCCTAATGACAGTTATAATTTATAATTAGTGCAACTGACAGTTCTAAGTAAATAATAAAATTATTTCAAAAACTGTTCTTATCACTTAAGTTTTTTGAAAGAATCCTCTAGAAAAGGGGGTGTCAAACCCATTTCACTCTGGGGAACTAAATTCATGAATAAGCCACAGTTCATGGACCCCCTTCCTCCAACTCAAAGGTTTATCAACACAGCTAATGGTAACTTATGTTGCTAGTTCAGGGCCAATATACACAATACAAAGACATGGGTCATATTATAGAATATGTGGATGTGACCAAAGGACATTGGGACATGTTTTGTGGGATGGTTAAAAAACTCTTATGGTTCATATGTTTAACACCCATGCTCTACAAGAAACACTATAAAGTACATAACATTAATGTTTTGAAGTATTATGCATTTTGAGAATGGGCATTTCATCGCGTATTCTAAGAATGGGCATTTCATCGCGTATTTTGAAAGGAATGGGCATTCCATCGCGTATTCTAAGAATGGGCATTTCATCGCGTATTCTAAGAATGGGCATTTCATCGCGTATTTAAAGAATGGGCATTTCATCGCGTATTTAAAGAATGGGCATTTCATCGCGTATTTAAAGAATGAACATTTCATCACATATTTTAAGAATGAACATTTCATCACGTATTTTAAGAATGAACATTTCATCACGTATTTTAAGAATGAGCATTTCATCACGTATTTTAAGAATGAACATTT